ATGTTAAGCACCGAGTGGATATGAATTGAGATGGATGTTCATCCGTGAGTTGAGGTGGGGTATCTTCAAGATTTCTTGATGTATCTCTTAATAAAGGAGAATCCTTTTGTTCAAATACTAATAATCCATTATATTTCTCAGCATGATCAACTTCATGATTCTTGTCCATTCGATTATGCCAATTTGCACTTCCATGTAAATACCTTGAGCAAAGTATTATACATTCTTCAACAATATACCATTCTGCCATACACCCTTCCGGATGATTTCTATTACGAACATAACATTTCAATATGCGTAAAAATCTGCATGATATAACATATCACTCAAACTTCTTTTTAACAAAATAAATTAACAAGCAACATAAAATTAAATCAAAATTATAAATTTAAAACATACCGCTCAATAGGATACATCCACCTATTTTGTACAGGTCCGCCAAGCTTAGCCTCTCTTAGAAGATGAATGACTAAATGAATCATAACGTCAAAAAAGGCTGGTAGAAATATCTTTTCTAATTTGCAGTGTTATTGGAATTTGAGCTGCAAGTTGATCCAAAACATCAACCCTTAGTGTTTTCAAACACAATTCTTTAAAAAATATACTTAACTCGGTGATAGCATCATAGACATTGCTTGGCACGACTCCACGAATTGCAAGAGGAAGTAGTTGTTCCAATAAAATATGTGAATCATGACTCTTTAATCCATTAATTTTACGATCCTCTGACTTCACCCACCGTGATATACTGGAAGAATAACCATTTGGAACCTTAACCACTTTCAAGAACTTGCATACTTTAGACTTCTCATCTCGTGATAAAGAATAACATGCTGCTGGGTAATACCATCTTCCATCTCTATAAGTTGGATGTAAATCTCTTCTTATACCCATTTCCTTCAAATTGCGACGAGCATTGAAATTATCTTTTGTTTTTCCTTCAATATCTAGTAATGTCCCAATAATATTATCACACACATTTTTTTCAATATGCATCACATCCAAATTATGGCGTATTAAATTATTTTTCCAATAAGGAAGCCTAAAAAAAATGCTTTTTTTCTCCAGTTATGTATGCCTTTACTTTTTTCGTACTTGCTTTTTTTCTGGGTCTTACCAAATTTCATGTCTCCCAAAGCAAGCAGTTGGCGTACAGCATCATCTCCCGATAGAATATTTGGAGCAGGTCTTCTTTCAACTTCTCCATTGAAATCACGTTTATTACTCCGCCACTTATGATTAGATGCTAAAAACCTCCGAGCACCCATGTAAGAAAACTTACGACCATACTTCAATCGAGTAGATGGAGTGTCTTTGTTGCATGAAGGACAAGCCAAAGCTCCCTTTGTGCTCCATCCAGACAAGTTTGCATAAGCTGGAAAATCATTGATAGTCCATAAGAGTGCTGCTCGCATACAAAAGTTCTCTTTTCTTGAAGCATCAAATGTATCAACTCCATAATACCATAATTCTCGCAACTCATCTATCAATGGTTCTAAGTACACGTCGATATCATTTCCAGGGGCTTTAGGACCAGGTATCAACAAAGACAAGTAGCAATAGGGTTGCTTCATGCACATCCAAGGGGGTAAGTTATATACAGTAATAATCATTGGCCAAGTGCTATGAGAAACACTTAAGTTACCAAAAGGATTTACCCCGTCAGATGCTAATCCAAGTCTAACATTACGCGGATCTCTAGCAAAACCAGGATTAGTTGTATCAAAATGTTTCCATGCTTCAGAATCTGCTGGATGTCTTAGAACCCCGTCTTTTAAGCGCCGATCATGATGCCATGTCATGTCTGAAGCAATTTCTGATGACACAAACAACCTCTGCAATCTTGGTTTCAAGGGAAAGTAACGTAACACTTTTCGAGGAACTTTGTTCTCATTCTTTCCTTGAATAGCTCCATCAGTTGTTTGGCCTTCCACTGACTTCCACCTAGACTCCCCACAAACCAAGCAAGATTCAGCTTTTGCATTTTTTTTTCAAAATAACAAACAATCATTCTCGCAAGCATGTATCTTTTCATACCGAAGACCTAAATTTTGAATCATTTTTTTTGCTCCATAGAATGACTCTGGTAAAGTTTCACCAGAAGGAAGTGCTCGTTTGATCAATTTCAATATGCTATCGGTTGCTTTATCACTCAAACCATGAAGGCATTTGATTTGGAACAATTCCACAATCAGTGATAACTTAGAGAATGTATCACAACCTGGATAAAGTTGTTGTGAAGCATCTTCCAATAATTTGAAAATTTTGGAAGTAGGTTCTGAAGCATCGCCTTGTTGAAACTTTACTCCACTAGAATCATCCATTATTTTGGGACCAGCAGCATCATAAATCATTTCAAACATATCATTCATCTCGCTCTTTTTCTTTTCTTTTGAGATGGTTCCCCTTGCTCTTTTCCTTCAACATCTTGATTAATGATTTTCTTTTTTGGTGCAAATTCTCCTTGTTGAATCCAACGTGTGTATCCTTTGACTATCCCAAAAAGTATTAAATGTTCCTTCACTTCATCTCTAGACCCGTTGGAAACATTATTGCATTGTGTACAAGGACAAGGAATTTCACCTTCTACTTCGGAGTTTTGAAAGGCAAATTGAAGAAAATTGTCAACTCCTTTTAAATAAACATCATTCGATGTGTCAGTACAACGCATCCAAGTCTTATCCATTTTCAAATTTCCTACAAAGAAACAAATAGATAAAGATAGTGTTAGCATAAAAATCTCCCAGAACAGAAAAAAACAATAGATTGAAGAGGGGCAGAAGGTGAGAATATATTATTAAGTGTTTGTTGAGTTCATCGTCCATTTTTTGGGAGGTAGAGAGGTTGTTTTCAATAAATCAACTCTCGAAATAACTAAATCACATTCATACTATTGTCCACTTAATGTCAAAGTTGGTAGGAGAAAGCTTTTGTTGACAAGTTTAAGTGTATGATTGTGACATTAAGTACACTTGGAAATGATCCTTTTCTTCAAAAATACAATGGAACTTATCTACATTCCACTTTTCCAGTTCTGTGAAATGTTCAAGAAGCCATCAACCATGTTGGATTAGGGCCAGAGGTGAAAGCAGTTGTTTCTTTAAACACATACATTTACTACTCCCCTGACTCAAATCCTGTCCCTTCAGCTAGCTTTCCCAACATAAAAAGGGAAAGTAGAATGGCCAACAGATGGAAACAAACACGCGAATATTGAAAATGCAAAGAGATTTAAAAGGCTCATTTCCTACTGCTACACTTTTGTATTTTGATTTGGCATCTTAATTATAAAAAGTAAACAACAAAAGCTGACTGTTCAGTGAAACAAAAGACACCAAATCAATATTTGGAAATAGCATTGCAAGGGACGAGACCAGAGCATGATACCAAACAAGTCACCCCACCTATTATATACTTCTTCCGTACATTTTAAATTGTCCATAATTGACTTGACATACCTTTGAAGGAGCAACAAGATAGTCGTTACATTCGATTATAGTAGATAGAAGAGTATAATTTCGATTCAAACAAAGAATTTGGCTGAGATAAACTATCAAATAGAGGATCTTCTCATTCTTAACACATCCTCTATGGTCCAGTAATAAACAATCCATTTTAAAATATGATGAGAAAACAAGTTAAAGTAAAATTTGCAGTAAAAGAATTTTAGATAGACGAAGAGGAAATAAACTTACCCTTGATGTGATGATGCAGGAGGAGATGATAATAAAGTTGAACTTGAACTTTGAAAGACAAATCGAAGAGATGAAGGTTCACTTGAGCTTTGTGCTTTGAATTTTGAGAGAGATGTAGTGTAAACTTTGTCTCTCAAATTTAGGGATTTAGGGATTTTTTTCATAGAAAAAAAGTTCAAATTTAGGGATTTTTTACATAGAAAAAAGAAGAAATAACTAATAAAAGCCAATATATTCTATCAAAATAAAGTAGGTTTAGTTGTGCCTTATTTAGAATATTTTACATTTAAAACTATTATATGTACATTTTTCTTTCACCTATTAAATGTACATATATATGTCAAAGTTGTACGACATACACTTTGGTTCCCAATATATATGTATATATATAATTATATTGTTTTTTCTTTCATTTTTTACTTAAAAAAATAGCATTTTTTACCTTTAATATTAATTGCTTATTTCGAATTGACAAAAAAGATAACTACAATATTATTTATTATTGATTATTTAAAAAGTGTGAGCACAGTTAAGGTGAGACATTTTATCTGATACGGGGTGAAATGTAAATCTTGGGGTGCTACATGTTTTTTTTCCGAACCTCTTCTATCGAACAATACATTTATATAACTAATTTAATTAGAGATGTTATACATTCTATCTTACAAGATCTTAATATATATATTTTTAAATATATTTAAAATAAATAGGAGTTATGCTCAATTAATTTTGATCGATTAATTATATCAAATTTAAATATTATCAACTTCACTAATTCCACCACAAACTTCATCTTGACTAGTGCTTTGCGAATTGTTATTTGATTCGAACTTATTGTATCAAAACAACATATTTTGGTGTAGTAATAGGTGCTCATTGTTCAATTTAATTCAGTTTTACAGACAAATATATTTGTAAGTTTCAAATAGGGAAAACTGTTTGGAATATATATGAACTTTGACCGAATTTGTTGTAACAATACCGAACTTTGAAAAAGACCTTTTACCCCCTGCACTATTTAATAGTGTATTTTAAAGGTATATATGTGCCCACATGGAAATCATAAATAGTGCATAATTATAAATAATAATGTGTCCACGTGGAAATCCACATGGGCACATATATATCTTTAAAATACACTATTAAATGGTGGAGGGGGGTAAGATGTCCTCCATAAAGTTTGGTGTCGTAACAGCATATTCGGCCAAAGTTGGAGTATTTTTTAGACCCTTTTCCCTTTCAAATAGAAAATATTATTACATTAATAACATAGTTAATTCTTATCTTTGTATTCTCAACATATATGAGCGTTTGGCCATGCAATTTATTCACTTTTTGGTAGTTGAACTCTGAAAAACATATTTGACCATAAAATTTTGGAATCTAACTTGAAGTTGAATTCTAGAATTTTCAAAAAAAACAACAAAAAAGGTGTTTTCACTTTTTTTTTTTCATTCTTCGGCCAATTTTTGGATGAGTCATTCTGTTCTAAAGAGAAAAAAAATTCACTTTGACCAACACAAAATATTTATTCACTTTAAAAATAAAAACTATGATTTTTTCAAATTTCACAATAAAACATGATCAAACGCACACTAAACACTACTAAAATAAATAAATTTTAGTGACAAACAAATATTGTAACTAAATAGAAAAATCTCATTAATCATATTTATCATTGAATTGACAACAAAATTCTCTTCGCTAAGAGAAAAAGAGCTTTGGATATGATAAAGTCCTAGCTAATTAAAAAAAATTACATATCAATTTTAGATTTTAAATAACATTAATTAATTAAATAAGTGATGAAACTTTTTATTAGTATTCTAGTTATTAGGAGGGAAATCCACGAATACACAGAAAATTCCCTATAATATATTAAAAGTAATGTGTTATATCTATTTTTGAAAGAAACACCACATAATTAATAACACAAAAATCAAAATAGAAGTAAAAATATTTCCCTACAAACTTTTTCCCGCTCATTATTTTATGCCTAAATTAGCTCTTTCTTTTCCTATTTTAATAAGACAAAACGTAATAACACTAGCACCCAAAAGGAAGTAAAATCACTCTAACATCACTAATTCTCTTTATTTTAATACATATTCCAATTTCATCTTTTGGTGTTGTGACATTTTGCAGAAACGTCTAAACACAAGTACGTTCTTCTTCTTCTCTCTTTTTTTTTTTTTATTTCTATCAATTTTTTAATTTTTTTTTCACTTTTTTAATATTATGTATATAATATTTTAATCAATGAAACGATACATTAGCAGTACAGTTACTCTTGGTTGATTATATTGTTTATACATGAATTCTTTATTTTATTAAATATGTATCCATGTATTGATTTTGAGTTACATGTTTTTTTGTTTTTCTAATTTTTTTCAAAATTGATTATTAAATATATTTTTATATCTTACAAATACTTGTTTGCAATAAGATATGGGCAGGAATGGTCTTCGGGAAAAAAAATTGCTTGATTGATAATGATGATGTGAAACTTGTGGAACTTCGTAAGAGTTCTAAAACGACGTCGATCAAAGAAAATCTCCCCAAACACATGTTGAGGAACTTGTTTATCAGGGTAATATAAATTTCTGCATATTAAATTTTTATTATTATTTCAATTAGAGAAATTTACAAAATCATATATAGCTAACTCGTGTTGTCGTGATGATTCAGATGTTAAAGACATGATTGTTAGTTATAAAATGCATAAAGGAAAGTCTTTCGAGATTTACACATTACCAAAGGATTGTGATATTATTATAAGTACATCTCTTGAAGAAAGTATTCCTAGCAATGATGTGTCCGAAGAGGTTATAGTTATGGAAGAACATCAATCATCAAATGCAACAGGTATACTTTATTGTTATTAATTTATTTTTTTATAAATAAAGATATTTTTATTTAATTTTATTTATTTAATCTTCAATTTTAGGTCCCAATGTGGTGGAAAAAAAAACTAGAGGGCCTACACGATGCATAAAAATAATCAACTTACCGGAAGGACAAAAATTATATGTACAATTTGATGAGGATAATCAAGCTATTGGTGAGAATGCAACTCAATTTATTTAGTTTTTGGGACAAACAGTTAGAAGCCAAAGTTGTCCTTTAAAAGTAAATGGTTGAAAAGAAATTGAGGAAAACAAGATTGACCACATGTGGGACATCATATTGGTAAGAATAAACTAATACAATTTATAATTTTCTTTAAGATTTTACAATTAAATATCTATTAGAATATATTATCATAAAATTATATTTAATATATTTTTTGTAGGAAAAATTTAGTTTTGATGTGTTTGAGGATAGAAAATATGCAATCATTGGTCATATGAGTGACCTTTATAGAGACTATAGACACAAAATGAAAAGTAAGTATTTTGATTCAAAAGCATCTTATCAACTTCGCTTGCGGAATAAGCCTAAACGTGTTAGCATCGACGACTGGAAATATTTGGTTAATCTTTGGAGTGATGCTGATTTTCAGGTATGATGTATTAGATTAAAAAAATTATTTTATTAAAGAAATAGTTTTATTTTATCAATTAAAGAAACTAATGTTTATTATTGTTTTTTAATCTTTATTCAGAAGAGAAGTATGCAAAACAAATCGAATAGATCGAAACGTTCCTTACCTCCATATATTGGAACCAAAAGTTATG